TTATTCTATATACGTGTTTTATGTGTGTGTTTGTGTGTGTATTTGTGTATATTTTGCAAACTGTGTTATAAATAAATAGCGCTTATGTATCAGCCTACCCGAAATAAACCGCATTGGACTTGGACCTCGAGAACATCAAGGTGGCTTGCCCATCACAAGCTGTCCTGTAAAGGTTTGCCCCCCACGCTGAAGGCAGATGCCCGCCAGATAGCTGATGAGGAAGCTCTGAGGCTTGGATGACAGCTGCTGGAAGGAGTTACCTCGAGTCCGAGTTTGTGACGCACATTCATACGTCCAGCGCCTGGAATCCACCTTGATTGGCCTGCAGGCAGGCGAACACCTGCTTAAACTCCGCACCTCCAACTGATGGAACCATTACTCAATGAGGACAGGAAGTTGGTGGGCTGTGTTGGCCCCTGGGAAAGTCCCAGGGAATTCCTGGTGAGGGCTCAAAGCTGCACTTGTCGGATATCAAATGACCAACCAGTGACTCTTCTCTTGGAGGGAGGGGGGGGTCTCCTTGCAGCTGAACTGGCTCCAAGGTGACATGTTTGGCAACGGAATGTCAGAATTGAGCCCACCTTGTATGGCGGTGGTGCTAGTCCGGTTCTTGAGCCAGGTTAGTCCTCATGTATTCTAGGGCACTGCTGATAACAGCACAGCCAGCCTGGCTCATCGGCAGGACTTGGAAGGGCAGACCAGTCACTGGGGCAGGGACTCTTCCCACTCAGCTCCCTTTAACCAATCCAAAGTCCAGCTGGTCAAGCAGTGCTCGCAATGGCAAGCTGTATGGTTTCAGCTGGTTGGACTCCAGCAGCATCTCAAAGCAACCCAAAACCTTGGCTCTTGCCAACTTGCGCCTAATACTCTCCAGATTTAGCTAAGCAGGATATGCACGTTCCAATCCAATTAATATGTCTGGAATTTCTGTGTTTAAGCGAGATGCGTGGAATTCTCAGTTTGGTTTGGATACTCTTAAGCCTGGTGATGGTTTTCGCATGTGTCAGACACCCGGCTGACCAAAAAGCAAGAAACAAACCCGTTTTTGCCTATATCCACTGGTGCTGAGGTTAATATAATGAGTCTCAAACGTTCAAGCATTAAGCTGCAGAATGTATCCATCTGCGATTAGATTAACTGGATTTGTTTTTAATACCTTGATAGCAAATGCTTTTCCATTAAAAAAAAATCATCTGCATCAGAAGAGTTCAACAATCAAGGTGGCCGGGAGATATGGTGGCATCAATATAAACTTAATCTCGACGAACAGTGTGGGTATAGCACTGTTGGGTGTTTTGAATATGTTGATGAAATTACGGTCACTGCTGCAGATTGGTGTTTTATTCAGTGAAACCCAAACCCAAGAGGCCGACGAACAGACGGTGTTTATGATGAGCCGCAGTAATATTAATGCGTGGACAGTAAAAAAAAAGTAGTCGGACCGAACATAGAGGAAAGGTTCACCTACGTTAGTAAGCATCATTTTGGGGGGATGAGGTGCTTTTTTGTCTTGGGACCACCTACAGAAAGGAAAGATCTGGATAAAGTTAAAGTGTTGTTTTTGAACAAAATTCATTTGAGAGTTATCCAAAGAAATCCACCCTTAAATACAGTTAAGTCTACACAAGTTTATTCCAAGAACAGCACACTATGAACACCTTGTAACATCTTTAGTCTATTGTAAGGATGTGTCAGAGAGGGGGTAGCAGAACAAAGGATGCAAGTTATTTGATAGCTTGTTTTCCAATGAGTTCCTTTCGATCAATCTTTGGATAGCCAATAACAATAGCAAATCTAAAATTAGGAGAGTAAATTGGTTAGATTTCCTCCCGGAAAACCAATCTCCTGACATTTGAAAAATGCTGTGATGCACGTCACAACCTTTACAGACCCCCGACCTCACCCCACCCCTGCCCGACACACAGATACATCTACATTGATAGAGTTAAAGGTAAGAAAATGTGAATAGCTTGTCTCTTTAAATAAATGCTAGTTATTGCAACTATACAAATTCATTGGCAGAAAAAAAAGTGAAAAACTGTGAGCAATTGGCTGCTGCATTTTGCCCACAAAATACAGTCAATCCACTTTACAATATATTCTGTGAAGGGCTTTGCGACGTCTCAACAACATTATATCAAATTTAATATCAAATGCAAGCATTATTATTATTATCAAGAGTTTTCAGAACAATCTAAAATTGACCTAATAATAATAATCCTTAATTGTAATCCATACATGTGATATAGCGTCTTTCTCATCCACAGGATATCCTAAAGAGCTTCACAGTGCNTTTTTTGTGAAGTGCAGTGACTGAGTGTTTAGTGGGCAAATGCCTCTGGATGTTAACCTTTCATTCCCAATGAGCGTAAAGCAGTGTGTATTTCTGATTTACGGTCTGTTATAGGCCTGCCTGGATCTCCAGTGAAATAAATTGCCTTCTAATTGTAATTTACAAGTTTATATTCCAAAGTAATCAAATTAGAAATAGCCTTGCTATTGCATATTAAAATCCCAAATTTTTCCCAGTCTTAGCCTGTAAAACCATTTGTCTTCACGTTTAATTTACAAAGTCACTCCTCCAGAATGCTGGCTTCCAAATTAAGGTTGAATTTAATTTCACTTTTTCATCTTATTCTTATTAATAATAACAATCCTTACATTTTATTTAATGACTTTCATAGTGGGAGGGCATCGCAATGCGTGTACATGATTTACAGTAAAGTGCAGTGACTGAGTGTTTAGATTTTAAGACAAAAAGGGTCTTTCAAGCTAAGATTCGGTGGAATTTCAAGTCTTGATCTATCCAGTTCCTTATTTGTAACTTATCTTACTTTCAGCATTAACATAAAACTATTTGATATTTGAATAAACCATTATTTTGTACAAGAATGAAATGTATATCAAATTCTCCCCTTAATTATTTTCATTTCACATACACTCTTGTGTCTCCCCACAGACTTTTATAAAAGGATCAGACAATAATAAAAGTAACAATTGTTGCATTTGATATAACGCCTTATCATACTGTTGAAACATCTAAAGTATATCACAGGATCCACTGTAGATTACAGTGACTGTGTATTTTCTGCCGAATGTGGCAGAAATTTTTCCAAGACATTGCTGTGCGCAATTGGCTGCTGCATTCCCTTACAATACTCAGTTGCTACACTTTACAGTACATCCTGTGAAGCACTTTGAGCACCCTCCCGATGTGAAAGATATCCTACAAATGCAACGATTTTGATTATCGTTATTATGTGATATAATTACAATTTAAAAATAGTCCGTAAACTTCAATAAGAAAATAGATTGAAATAAAATACATTAATAAAATACATGAATCAGGCTAGTTTTGGAACAAGTCTTATGTTATTACGTTGTCCCCAAGAATGATCATAAATAATGTGTTAAGAAAACCGAGTGCTGTCCCTTTAAAGCAGATTCAACTTTGATTTTTGATATGTGTGGGAATCAAACTCTCTTCTACAGGTTTAAATCCTCAATTGAGATGTTTGCCTCCTCCTGTGCCATCCCGTGGACAGGTGGTGAGAGACACAGGGTCTAATAGGATTGGCGTTATTGTCTAATTTTGTTTAAACCGCTTTGTCGATCTAATGTAGTTATCTTTGTTATTCGTTCAATTGAGGCATGGGTTGAATTGAATCCATTCCACCCAATGCAACCTCATTTGTTCCTTAACCAAGGGTAATTGTCTCCTGTTAAAACCTCTTAATCTTCGTTTGGCATGTTTTTCTACACATGTCAACATCAAGGGGAGAGAAAAACACACACACACGCACATACACACACACACACACGCACAGGCACAGACCAACATTAACCCTTAATTAAAACCAGATTTGTGTAACGGAACATTGACCCAAAGTCGAAGCTGCTTTAAAGGGACAAAGCTCGGTTTTCTTAACACATTATTTATGATCATTCTTGGGGCCAAAGTAACAACATACTCATAATTCCCAAACTAGCCCAATTTATGTATTTTATTTTAATCTATTTTCTTATGGAAGTTTACAGATTATTTTAGGTAATATTGTAATATATTGGATAATAATAATCATAATAATCTATTTGACGTAGTGCCTTTTCACGTCTTCTAGACATCTCAATGCACTTCACAGAATATACTGTAAAGTGAATTGACTATTTTGTGGGCAAAACGCGGCAAGGCAGCCAATTGCGCACAGCAGTGTCCTGCAAACAGTCGTGGATTGAGTGACAACTTTTTTTTGAAGGAATTATTACCCCTGGAAACGCAATCCGCCAATCGACCAACAACTGGGTTCCGACTTATTGCTAGGTAAACAGAGGCGTGTGGAGTAAGGAAACTTGCCCAACGTTTCACCCTGCCGAGAATCAAACCCAGGTCTCTTGCTTGTGAGCCGAGCGCTCTAACCACTGAGCTACAGGATTCCACATAATAATAGTAGCAATAAGCCTTGCATTTGATATTAGTGCCTTTCACAGCACCTTTGACAATCAGCGCTCCCCCCAGCGCTCTATTGGAGTGCCAGCCTAGACAATGTGAGTTTAAAGTCCGGATGGGGAAGCTGGAATCCTTCTGACTCAGAGGCAGATCTAACCAGCTGAGGCGGGCTTCTGTTTTAATTGCAAATAGGGTATCGAGTTGCCTTTTCCACCCGACTGCTTGGGGAAGTAGGCGTTGCGGTTGGACAGTAATATCCCTGGGAAAAGACATTAAAATGAATGAAGGGGTGAAACTGCCTTATAAATACTAGCACACGACCAGCGTGTGTAACAAGGTGCCTGCACATGCACTTGGTAAGTGTGGAAGAGCTGCGGGCGACAGTCAAAGCCAAGGAGAAAGACAACGGAAAAGGTGATATTGCATTATCGGCTAAGAGAAAATGTTGTTTTAAACTATTGCGGCCGGAGTAAGTAGCGCGTCATGCGTGTTTAACTGCTCCAAACTTGTTTCTTGTTGCACATACGCAGCCTTCAGTTGCCAATCTCCTGTTCTGCCACCAAGAATGCATCACCCAAACTCTGCTGAATGCTTCCCAGCTTCCAACCAGGGAGCCAGCGTGGTGCCTACAGGTAACAGCGACAAATCCTTTGTTCTAAATCATGATGATAATAATAAGGCACTTTATCAGGTCTTCAAGATGTCTCAAAGCGCTGCACGGAATATATTGTAAAATGAATTGATTGTATATTTTGTGAGCGAAACGCGGCAGCCAATTGCACAAAGCGACATCCCACAAATAGTCGTGGATTGAGTGACCAAATTATTTTATTTTTTTAAATTTATTTTGATAGAATTATTACCCCCATAAAAAAGAGATCCGCCAATTGACTAACCACTAAGTGGAGTCCTGTAGCTCAGTGGTTAGAGCACTCGCTTTGCAAGTAAGAGACCTGAGTTCAATTCCAGGCAGAGGGCGAAATCTTGGGCAAGTTTCCTTAATCCACACGCCTAATAATAATCCCTCCAAAACCAAAAACTATAATAAATTGGTCATTTTCAATCTACGACTGTTTGTGGGACATTGCTGTGCGCAATTGGCTGCCGCGTTCGCCCACAAATATACAGTCAATTCACTTTACAGTGTGTTCTGTGAAGCGCTTTGGGACGTCCTCCCGACGTGAAAAGCGCTATATCAAATGCAAGGATTATTATTATTATTATTATTAACTGGGTTCCTACTTACTGCTAGGTAAACAGAGGTTTGTTGAATAAGGAAACTTGCCCAGCCTTTCACCTTGCCGGGAATCGAACCTTGCGAGGCGAGTGCTCTAACCACTAAGTTACAGGACTCCACATGATTACAAGGACATAATTTACGTATTAATGCTTGTTGATCTGGTTGGTTTCCACTGCTCCAGTAGATTTAAAATAAGATTAGGTAGAAAGACTATGTCAGGTTTAGTTCAGGATTGAGACAGTGAGAAGACCCCCTAACTCTGCCAATGCTTCTCACCCACCTTACGTTACTGCCGGATCTATTTATCATCATTAACAAATGTAACGATTATTATTGTATCTATTGTATTTGTATCCAGAGGAATATCTTTTATTTTGTGCCAGAAGATGACTAAGAAGGTGAGTTGAATAGGCAGCGTGGGGATTAGGTTGGAGTATACAGTAAACCTCACATAAGTCTTTTAATATGACTTATGTAAAGTATGAGTTATGTCAAACTTGCATGGAATATAAACTCTTGAATGGGACTTGGGCAGATGTATGACATAGGCGATTATATGATTTATTGAGATGACTTATGCAGGTTTTACTGTACAACCAGGTGCTAAGGACCTTGCTGGGATTGTGTCTGGGAATGCGCACCCTCTGCTGCTGAGCTTGACTACTTTGAGGATGGAGAGAGAGTCTATGCTGAGCCCGTTTGCAGGGGCAGATGTAGTTGGAGGGGCGGGGGGGAGAAAAGTAGGGAATCAGGGGAATTCTCTTGGTTGCTCTTATGCACATTCTAGCTCCGTGTTTCACAACATCATTTATAATCCGTGCGTTTGATAATCCTTGCACTTGTTATTGTACCTTATCATTTTGTTCAGACTTCTGAAAGAGCTTCACAGAATATATTGTAAAGTGGATTGACTGTGTATTTTGTGGGTGAAACGTGCAGCCAATTGCACACAGCGGTGTCCCACGAATAGACATGGATCAAATGACCAAGTTTTTTTTTGGAGGGATTATTATTCCCGGGAAAGTGATCTGCCAATCGACTATCAATTGGGTTCCTACTTACTGCTAGGTAAACAGAGGCGTGTGGTGTAAGGTAACTTGCCTGAGGTTTCCCCCCGCCTGGGGAATCAAACCCAAGTCCTCTCGCTTGTGAGGCGAGCACTCTAACCCCTACTTTATGGGACTCCACTGCTTTTGGTTGTGATCAATTGAAAACGCTCATTTCTTCACCGCGTATCACACACACTCGCATTAAATTTTTGCACTAAAGTATTTTGCAGTAAAGGACACCCTAGGTTACGCAACGTTTGGGACGTCCTCCCGACGTGAAAGGTGCTATACAAATGAAATCTTGTTGTTGTTTGATCTTCGCGTATGTTACCGGAATTAATGATTAAGTCTTGAACATTCACTGATGCATTCTCTAACCAGTCTCATCTGTTTTATCTTTGACCCAAGCACTGTCATCACCTAAATGCTCCTTTATGCACCTCTCCTCGGGAGCTCTGGCCAATGTGTCTGCCGGACTTCACTATTCCATGTCGTCTTGTCATTATGGGACCCAGCAACCTCCATACGGGGTGATGACGGGTAAGACTATTATATGGCTATTATATCTATTCAGGTAAAGATTATTATATGAAATACAGTGCAGCATGTAGGCTGGAGGATATTGCAAAATACCGACGCATGGAAGTGACAAACTCAGAAGGGTGAGTGCTTATTAATGCTATATTTCTATATAAACATATTTAATTGAGAGTTCCCGGAGGGATTTTTTTGCTAGCGAATATTTTTTTCCCGAGTGAGTATCGCGAACAGAATAGGCACGTTTCTACCGTAACCCATGATTTGATCCGGGTTTTGTTTCGCTGCGTGTGTTACGGGGGAAATAGCGATGATCCAGATGCAAAACAAAAAGGCTTCACCTTAATCGTCGCTCTCACTCATAGTGGGTTGCATAGTTGCATTAAATAATAACAGAATAATAAATTATTATAATAATAATAAATTATTATACAGCAGTTGCATTAAAGGGGAAAAGTGCACTAACTGTGGAATACTGTGAAAATAGGATAACGGTACAGGTCTGAAGTGCACAATTCTGGAACATGTTGTTGAAGGATTTGTTGCCCTGAGTAAACAAATCTTAATAATAATAATAAACCTTGCATTTGATATTGTGCCTTATCACGTCGTTGAGAACGTCTCCTTTAATAATGGGTGTTCCACTCTCTGGAGTCACTCTAACCTGCGTCCTCCCTTCCTCCCTCTCTCCTTCCCTTCGTTCGAGGCACATCTCGAAACATACCTCTTTGACTGCGCTTTGGTCAAACACCTTATCGGTAGGGCAAAACTAATCTCTCCAAGATTGCCTTGAAACAGGTTCGTTTTACCTGAATGTTGCAATTATAAATCCACACCCTTGGCTCCCACCTCCAACTCGGATGCGCATCCAGCATTGGTAAGAGTTTTGAGACGTCCTCCGAATGTGAAAGTTGCTGCATATAAATGTAAATGCAAGACCTTTCACATTGGGTACACTACTGACCCTGCCTCTGCTCGACTGGCTCCAGCCTCTCCTTGACCCCTAAACTCTCTACCTCAATCTCTTCGCCTTGCACCCCACCCCCACCGGCCCACCTAACACTCCCCATTTTCAGGTTGGACTTGAAGACCTTCCTCTTCGACCGTACCTACGGTCACCTTCCCACTCCCCCTGGCTCGGCATCGAGCTCCGGCACTGTTAACCACTCCGAGACGCCGTCCGGGTGAAGGGCGCTATATAAATGCAAGTTGTTGTTGTTGTGCATGAAACTGTCTTGTGGCATTGAATTTGTGTGCACAGGTGGCCTTGGTCCGTGCCTGTACAAACTGCCCGATCACACACTGAGCACTGCTTCGTGTGCCCTGGGGCACGGCTTTGCCCCCGTGCATCAGTCAGTGCTCGGCGAGGAGCCCATTCTCATTGACTTCAAACAGGAGTTCCGCAAAAAGAACAAGATCACCGATGAACCGGCCGAGGTGGATTCTCCGGAAATTAAGGAGCTGGAAACTTTCGCAAACCAGTTTAAACTGAGAAGAATAAAGCTAGGTAAACGCCTCTTTTATTTCTGTCCCATTAACCCTTCGGCAATGCCGGCTTAAACAACTCCGCTTTGTACATGTCTGAACGTATTGATTGGAAAAACATGTAATGCCTATAGGCTCTGGATTAATAGTCGATAATCAGATTATCGGATTCTACGGTAATTGTATCCACTTGTTTATCCGTAAATGGATCACAAGAGATGCAAGGATCAGTATGGAGTGCAGAATAGATTTACAAGGACTTTACCAGGGATGAGTAGATACAGCAACGAGGAGAGATTGGACAGTTTGCAGCTTTTCTCTCAAGCAGAGATGATTGAGAGGGGAACCTGCTGGAGGTGCTAGATTATGAAAGGATGCGATAAGGTGAACATTCATACAGTTTCCACTTTGTCAAGAGCTTTTTTGACGTTTTCCTAAGTAAAACAGAGGTACATAATTGCAAGTTGTTATTTGTCACTGTAGATGCAATAAAGGTGCACAAAGCCAGTATTACCCATTATTATGTGTTAAAAGCAAGTGACAGGCTAACTTTACTCCATCGAAAACGCACGGGAGTGAATTTAGGACTCAGATGAATGCAAGAGAAACTTTCATTATTCAAATGTAAAAGTTACTTTTACAATTGAATTATTTTAATTTGTATTGAATTGTGTTACTTGAAATTACAATGTGCTTCACGATCAGATTTTTGTTGCCTGTTTTCAGTGACAATCAAACACTCTCCCCCTCTCTCCGTAGGTTACACTCAGACAAATGTTGGGGAAGCTTTGGCTGCAGTTCACGGCTCTGAATTTAGTCAAACAACGATCTGTCGTTTTGAAAATTTACAGCTCAGTTTTAAAAACGCTTGTAACCTAAAATCGATCCTCTCAAAGTGGTTGGATGAAGCAGAACAAGCAGGAGGTACGTGGCTTGACTTTGTCCGTGTGAAACATGAACCCGAATGGATTGGCAGGTGAAAGCTAGGAGTTATTTGGCCCACAAAACACACATAAGTCATCATCACTTTACAGTATATCCTGTGAAGCACTCAACAATGTGATAGGGCGCTATATATCAAATTCAAGGATTATTATATATTATATCATCAACTGTAAATGTGTGATGTCCAGTTTGAAATTAAATCTAGTCTTTGATTTCAACAAATAACCAGTTACATTATTTACATGAGATTTAGAATGTTGCCAACCATTGCCTCCTGCGGTAAGATTTATTTCAAATTAGTTTTGAATTTGCTACATTCAAACTTTATACAGTAGGTTGTGAAAGCTTGTTAACGTTGGTTATATAGCGCCCTCCACACAGAGTAGCATCTCAAAGAGCTTAACAGTGGCGGAGCCTGACTCCGAGCTGGGCAGAGGTGGCCATAAGCACAGTTGAACAGGGAAGTTTTCAGGCGGGACTTGGAAGAGGGGAGAGAGGGGCAAAGCGGAGGGTTTGAAGGAGAGTGTTGGGGCGTAGTGGCTGAAAGCATAACCTCCAATGGTGGGGCGGAAGGTGTGAGGGACGAGCAGGAGGCCGATGCCAGTCGAGCGGAGGCGCCGGGTGGTGGACTGGGGAGTGAGGAGGTCGGAGAGGTAGGGAGGTGCCAGGGAGTGGCAAATAGATAAGGAAAAGAAGAGGGCCAAGGATGGAGCCCTGGGGTATCTCACAGGTGACCGGGCGGGGGCGGGGAAGAAACCATTTGCTGAGATGAAATGGAAGCGATTGGTTACGTAGGACTCAAACCACGCGAGTGCAGTCCCACTAAGGTAAATGAGGGAGGAGAGCTGATGGAGGAAGATGGCGCAGTCAACTGTGTCGAACGTGGCAGAGAGATCCACGAGGACGAGGAGACAGAGGGATCCCTGGTCACAGATAGAGAGAATGTCATTTGTGAATTTGACAAGCGCTGTCTCTGTGCTGTGGGCAGGGAGAAAACCAGATTGCAGGGACTCAAGGAGGGAGTGGAGGAAGAGATGTGACCTGCAGCAATGCGTTCCAGGACTTGGGCTTGGAAGGGTAGGTTGGAGATGGGACGGTAGTGTGAGAGATTAGGGATTGAGGTTGGGTTTTTTGAGGAGGAGTGTGATGACAGGGTTTTCAGGTGGAGTGGAACAGAGCCTGAGGACAGAGACTGGTTGGCCGTGTCGGCCAGCAGGTGGGGAGAGAAGGGGGAGTTGAGTGACCAGCAGCTGGGTGGAGAGGGAGTCAAGGTAGCAGGTGGTGAACTGTGGTTAAGAGGGAGGAGGGAGAAATGGGTGCAAAGGAGTGTAAGGATTGGGTGAGTGTCAGGAGCTGTGTCGAAGGGAGAAGGCGGTGTGGATGGTCTGGGTGGGGTGGAAGGGGGCATGGTACGGGAGGACAATGCAGATAAGCGGATGCTTTCAATTTTTGAGGCAAAGATCTAGGACATCTTTGTACTTGGCATTTGACGTGAGGATAGAGGGGGCTTGAGGGGGTGCACGGGGAGATGATGGACGGTGGAAAACAGCATCTTTGGATTGTTGTTTGCCTCCAGGATGACTTTGGAGTAAAAGTCAGTTTTGACCTGTGAAAGGGAGAGGCGGTAGTTGCAGAGGTGGTGAACCGTGAGTCAGGATTTCTGCCATCTGCGCTCGAGCATCTGGGTTTGTTTTTGAATGGACGGAGATGACTGTTGTACCAGGGGAAGCAGATAGCTTTGGAAATAACCCTGGATTTCAGGGAATTGAAGATTGTGGAGAGACGGTCATTCAGCAGCATGACGGCTGAATCAGGATTGCTGCGTGTGGAGGGCCAGAGGGAGAGGAGGTCGTGGAAGAAAGGGCATTTGTGAGGGACTCAGGGGGAAGCTTTTTCCAGGGGCGGAAAAAAATGGTGGAGGGCTTGGAAGAGGGAAGGGAGATATGGGAGGAGAGGGAGATGAGGAAGTGGTCCGAGATGGCCTTGTCCGTGATTGACAGGTCAGAAATGTCAAGGCCATGTGTGATGTACCATACTGGATAAGTTTCTCTTGTGACACAGTTAACCAAAGAGAATCTGGCATGGGTGCAGTGTTTGCAAATAAAGCTCTAATGCAGTGCCGGGGGAAGTGCTGCATTGCTGTAGTTCAGCTGAGATGTTAAACCGAATTGTATTTAGTAGCTCTGTATTTTTTGCAGCATTAAACAATGAAAAAATTGGAACAAATGAAAGAAAAAGAAAACGAAGAACTACGATTAGGTAATTATAACAAAAAGCAGCATAAACATACAGTATGGCGTCATTTTGGAAGGACTTGTTCAGGATTTAACACTTGCAGTGATCCCACTATAAATGTAAGGTGTTTAAATATTAATTTTTTTAACCTTAATCTTTTCTGGAAAGTTCGCTAGCAAACTGATCACTATTGTACAAAAATTCAACACTAAGGTATGATAGGTGTCTTGTTCGACCCTCAACTGTCTTTTCTTTCCCACATCCAAGCCATGACCCACTCTGCCTTCCCTCACCTCCGTAACATCATCCGACTCCGCCACTACCTCACCCCTCAGGCCGCTGAAACTCTTGTTCATATCTTCATTACCCTCCAGGCTCGATTGTGCAAATGCCCTGCTTGTCAGCCTTCCCAACTCCTTCCTCCACAGGCTGCAGATAATCCAGAACTCTGCAGCCCGTGTCCTTTCCTGCACCAAACTCCGTGACCCCATCTCCTCCATTCTTGCCCGACTCCATTGGCTCCCCATCCTTTGGAGGATCCTGTTCAAGATCCTGGTCCTCACCTACAAAGCCCTCCATGGCCTCGCCCCACTCTATCTCTGCAACCTCCTAAACTCCTACCAACCCACCCATCCCTCCACTCAGCCGGCTCCGGCCTACTCCACGTCCCCCGACCCACCCGCCCCTCCATTGGCGGGAGAGCCTTCAGCCACTCTGCCCCCAACCTCTGGAATTCCATCCCCCAATCACTCCGCCTCGCACCCTCCTTAGCCTCCTTCAAGTCCCGCCTCAAGACCTTCCTCTTCGACCATGGCATCGGCCACCCCCCTTCCCTCCCCTCCCTTCTCCCCCACTCCCCCTGACCCCAGCTCAGGTCGGAAATGCTTTACACTATACAGGGCTTTGGGACGTTCTCCCAACGTGAAAGGCGCTATACAAATGTAAGCTTGTCGTTGTTGATAGCACAATACTCATCCTCCATTGCTTGTGTTGAAACCTTTTGAATGTAATTAAAGCAATTGGAAATTCACAAAGGCCAAAGACCTAACACGTATGGCGGTCTTAACTGGACAAGCAGCGGGAAGATGTAACTGGCAGGCAGTGCTATCGATGGCAAGCTATGAGATTATAGTTGGTGAGACTCCCAACAATTACCCCAACACACACACTGGGGTTTCCGAGTCTTGGCTTTTGCTAACCTGCGCCTAATTCTCTCTGAAATTAGGTAAACAGAGTGTACATTCTATTTCAGACACAGAGAATTTCCATATGTAAGTGCGGTTTTATTGTGTGGTTCTACATACATACAGTCTGGTTTGGATATTCTTAAACTTATTAATGGGTTTCCCGTTTCACCAGTCTGACCAAAACAAAAATTAACAAGAAACAAACTAGCACTTCTAGCTTTCAAATGCAAACTCGTTGTAATCAAACTCTTCATAATCATTGACTTAAAAAGTTTTGAAAGTACAATAGTATTATTCCCAGGCAGGGCAAAATCTTAGATAAGTTTCCTTACTCCACACGTTTCTGTTTCAGTAAGTAGGAACCCGGTTGTTAGTCGCTTTCCAGGGGTAAAAATCCCTCCAAAAAATATATGGGCCTTCAATCCACAACTGTTTGTGGGACACTGCTGAGTGCGATTGGCTGCTGTGACTCGCCCACAGAATACACAGTCAATTCACTTTACAGTATATTTTGTGAAGTGCTCAGCGACATAATGTGCTATATCAAACGCAAGGATTAGTATTAACTTGAATTTGGTTTGCACCCATTAAGCCTCCTTGCCAAAGAAGCTCTGGAGACGCACTTTGGACAACAAACCAAGCCCTCCTCGCAGGAGATCACGCAGATGGCCGAGGGGCTCAAGCTGGAGAAGGAAGTGGTGAGAGTCTGGTTCTGTAACCGCCGACAGAGGGAGAAACGCGTGAAGACCAGCCTGCACCACAGTTCCTTTCACTTTCCCTTCAAAGAACACCTGGACTGCAGATAGTTTCATTTCTAACCAGAGGGTTCAGAAAACCCACCGCGATGCCAAAAGACATTTAGGAAGGAAATTGAGAATAACTAAAGGTAGAGAGAGAGACAATTCCAGGCAGGGCGAAACCCTGCGCAAGTTTCCTTACTCCACACCCCTAATAATAATCCCTCCAAAAACAAAACAATAATAAATTGGTCATTTTCAATCCACGACTGTTTGTGGGACACTGCTATGCGCAATTGGCTGCCGCGTTTCGCCCACAAATATACGGTCAATTCACTTTACAGTCTATTCTGTGAAGCGCTTTGAGATGTCGAGAAGACGTGAAAAGCGCTATATCAAATGCAAGGATTATTATTATGATATTATTATAAACCAAGAACCCTTCCCCCGAATCCTTTGAAAAATAAAACATTTTCAATCTTTTTTTGGGCAATAATTATTTGCACAATTTCCACTGGGTATTAGGTCAATCGGCTTTTCTTAAAACCAAAGGACACTCAATAATAATTGGTCCAATGTCCTCAGTTTAAATAAGAACCAATTAGAATTATTTTAAAAGCTCTAACCCTACTGAGGGTGAAGCAACCGTTCGTACGCTGAAAATATTGGCAAAAGTAAAAGTCTGGCGACATTCCTGTTGCAATCAGGAGTTATTTACTTTTAAGAGGGATATTTTCTGTCTGAAGTTATAGTATTGAGTTCCCAAAACCTCCAGCAAATCTCTCAATTTCACGAGGAATGTCAAGAACACAGATGACGCTTGGAAACACCTCGTGACACGGAAAAAATGAATCAAAAATGGGAAGATATATGGCAGTGCAAATAAGAGAAGCTGAAGCCTGAAAGAAAAGCAGATTAATGGAACATATGTCGATCAGACAGTTGAACTGGACTAAATTAAATTGAACTGAACAGAACTCAATTCTGCAACCAGCACTTTAGAGTCAAAAATCAGAAAACAAAAATTCAAATCTGATCAGAAAATTCCAGGAATGCTTTTGCAAGATATTTATAACCACAAGCCACCACCCTCAGCCCCAGCCTCCAGAAACTCCCCTGGTATAGGAAAATAAATCACAGCTCTATATTTTGTAACTAAAGGTATTTGTTTTGTGCGGTGAATCCAAATTGTTTTAATAAATGTAATTGTTGTTGTTGATCAAAGGCATAATTTGCATAAAGTTGCATAATTATCTTGTTTCAAATTCACCGAGTTCTTTAATTGTGTGTAAGATTTTATTGACCTTTCATTGTTTGTCAGAAGCTTACGGTTGTCCCACCAGTTGCTGCACTGGTCACCACCAGCCACTTTCCAGCTCTGTTATGCTCATCATGTGAAGCAATACAAGTTGGAAGGCAACGACAAGGAAGTAACTCTGGAATGGTAATTTTAGTGATACGTGTGCTCTTAAATGATGATAATAATACTTGCATTTGACATAGTAGTTTATCACACCATCAAAATGTCTCCAAGCGTTTTCACGTCTTTGTACAGTAAAACATTTTAGTCAGTTTGACGTCTGACATGATGCTTATCACCCTGCTTGATTGTGGAGGGACGCAACCTGCTTACATAATCCCAGAAATTACAAGCCGGTTTGGCAAAAAATAAGGTGTGTGAAAGCCAGGGGTCACTGCTGGAGTTTAACCAATTAAAACCCCATAGCTTGCCATTGCAAACACTCTCTGGCAAGTTTCCTGCTACTTGACGAGGACTACCCTACCAGTCAGGGCTTTGGTTTTGAGGGTTAACAGAAACCCGAGAGGGAGGAATGCTGGTCCACAACAACTAGACTGTTCCTCAATTTTTTTCTGAGGGGCCACACAAGCTGATCTGTCATCAACATTGGCATATTGTCCTCATACATTCCCTTTTAGCTGAGGAGCTATTCTTGAAATTGTTCAGTTTTTAAGTCAGAACCATTTTGGCCAGGTCAATCGAACTGATGTTTCTTTTTATTAGCATAAATTCAAGATCTTCGATTTTCTCCAACAAAGAGGATTGTATAAGAGGGGTTATACTACAGGGATGAAAAAAATCACAACACTCAGTCAGAATCATTCATGACCTAGGACATCCTATCCCTGAAACCCACCACCTGCTCCCTTGACCCCATCCCCACTCCACTCCTTATCTCCAGCTCCACCTCCTTGCCCCACATATCACAGACATCATCAACCTGTCCCTCTCCTCTGGCTCTGTTCCCATTCCCCTAAAAACTGCCACCATCACTCCCACCTTGAAAAAACCCTCCCTTGATGCGTCGCAGCTATCAAGCTACCGGCCCATCTCCAACCTCCTCTTCCTGTCCAAGGTCCTTGAAAGAGTTGTCGCCTCCCAGCTGCGCTCTTTCCACCCATTCATTATTCGAACCCCTTCAGTCGGGTTTCCGTGCTGCCCATAGCACAGAAACTGCCCTGGTCAAGGTCACCAATGACATCCTGACCATCTGCGACCAGGGCTCCCTCTGCCTCCTCGTCCTCCTCGACCTATCGGCAGCATTCGATACGGTCGACCACGCTATCCTCCACCTCCGCTTGTCCTCCCACCTCAACCTTCAAGGCCCTGTCCTTGAGTGGTTTAGGTCATACCTCTCCCACCGTCTTCACTTTGTTTCCACGAACGGCTTTTCCTCCGCCCCGCACTGTCTCGTGCGGTGTCCCTCAGGGCTCTGTCCTCGGTCCCCTCCTCTTCACCCTCTATATGCTCCCCCTTGGTGACATCATCCGCAGACATGGGGTTAACTTCCACATGTATGCGGATGACACCCAACTCTACCTTTCCTCCTCTACCCTCAACTCCACGACCACCGATGTCCTGACAGCTGCCTGTCCGACATCGAGTCCTGGACGAGAGACAACTTTCTTCAGCTCAACGTGCGCAAAACTGAGGCCCTCCTGATTGGCTCACGTCAGCGCCTCCGCACCTCAGGCGCTGACAGCATCAGCATCCAAGGCTGCACTCTCCACCTCTCAAAGCCAATCAGGAACCTCAGTGTTCTGTTCGACCCTGAGTTGTCCTTTCTTCCCACATCCGCGCCACAACTGGCATTGCCTTCCATCACCTCCGGAACATCGCCAGACTACGGCACTACCTCACCCCTCACGCTGCTGAAACCCTGGTCCACGCCTTTATCACCTCAAGGCTGGACTATGGGAACTCTCTCCTCGCCGGCCTTCCCGGCACCTCCCTCCACAAGCTGCAGGTCATTCAGAACTCTGCAGCTCGTGTACTGTCCCGCACCAGGCTTCGCGACCACATCACTCCCACCCTCGCTCGCCTCCACTGGCTCCCCATCCCCCAGAGGATTGAATTCAAGATCCTCATCCTCACCTACAAGGCCATTCACGGCCTTGCTCCCTCCTACCTCTCTGACCTACTATCCCCCTACCTACCTGCCCGTACCCTCCGTTCCTCTGGCTCCGGTCTGCTCCACACCCCCCGCCCCAACCGCCCTACCATCGGTGGCCGGGCCTTCAGCCTCTCAGCCCCTAGGCTCTGGAACTCTATCCCCCAGTGCCTTCGCCGCTTCCTCCCTTTCTTCCTTCAAGGCCGGTCTCAAGACCTTTCTCTTTGACCGTGCCTTCAGCTCCCCTCTCGACTCTCTACCCCCTCCTCGCTTCCTCCCTTCCCTCCCCTCACCCTGACCATTTCCCCCTTGCTCGGGTCCTGACCCAATTGTACAGCGCCTTGGGACGTCCTCCCGACGTGAAAGGCGCTCTATAAATGGAATCGTGTTGTTGTCGTTGTTGTTGTAAGACAATTATAGCATTGAATATCGCAAAATGAACATTACCAGATGTTAATGACCCTTTATCTATTGTTTGAATCTCAAGAAAATACTGGCCACATGCAGCCTGCTCAGCTGGTTTGTCCAAATACCCTATCCTGCTCACTCCCCTCTGCCAAGTCAAACCTCATTTGTGTCCCCCACTTCACCATCGGCAGGCCAGCTTTCAACCAATTTGCCCCGCTCTCTGGAACTCTCTCCCTGAATCCATCCACCTCACTCATTCTGCTCTTAAAACCCATCTTAAAATCTCTCAATCACCTAACCTTCCTGCAACTCCCACACTGCTCAGCCTCTCCCCTGTAAAGCACTTTGAGATATGAAAGGCGTCATATACGTGCAAGTTGTCGAGACATAAGCAGCTGTAAACCATTCCTGGAGTGTTCAAGAAACTTATATTTATTTATTTGCAATAATATGGCAGCTTAGCGAAATCTATACTGCTAAGCGTTTCGTTCAAACTTTAAATCAATAATTTAATTCCTAGAACCTTGCTTTGACTTTTCTTTTTATTAGGTTTCATAAATAAAAAAAACACCCTCAATCACTTGGAAAATACATCATCAGCAAAGTTTGTTTTTCCTAAAAAGAACTACTTCAACATTTTAAAAATTCATATTTTCTAATGCAAAACGAAAGCCCACTCCCATCAATTGTGTTATAACAAAAACAGTTGTGTTACTTTTAAGTGTCTGCTGTAACGACAGTGAGGCAGTAACAAAACATCTTAATTTTCCTGTTCCCCCACCTTACAAGAGATCAACACCATTGCTTTAAAGAAATCATCCCGTTCAAAGTAATATAAATATGCAGGCAAATTTCAGCGAAGCTGCCCTTTCCACTTCACCCTTAAGAGATCTAAAACAATTAACACAAAATTCCAAGAAACAAACCAGTTTTCAGAATTATCAGTTGGTACATAAACAAGTACAGAAAGCATAAAGGACTATCAGTCAGTCAGTCACCTGAATAACCTCAGTGCAATAAAAAGTGTCAATAGAAAGTGTCAACTAACATCTGCTGTACAAATGCAAGTTGTTGCTTAAAAAGGTATTCAAGCCAATTCTCAGATTACCCCAAGGATGTACTGGTGCACTCAAATGGAAGAGTCCCGACTGTGTATAGCCACGAGGCGAGAGAGAGGGAAAACAAATGACTTTTTCATGAACGTTAAAAGTTTCTGGCAACCGAAAGTTGATCACAACATCAACTAACCTTGATGCAAATAACATTTCGTTAACAAAGTGAGCAATGTCAGACATGTGTCGGAGGTAATTCCAAATGAAGAAATCCAGACCGAACAGCAGGTCACTCAAACATGTTTTGTCGCTCTTAACAAGATGTAAGCTTGCTAATATAAAGCTCCTTTTTACAACTCACAAGGTTGTTTCACTGGTTGTTCACAAGCTAGACATGTTGCTTGACTGTATGCTCTTACCAAATAAATGAGATTATTTAAGCATCTGTGTAGTGTGAACGACAAGTGTGAACAGGATCCAAATTAAAACTGAACCTGAGTAGTCCAGAAAACGTGACTTGGGAGAAAGAATGGTCTTAAATATTTAAGTGTTTTCTTTTCCTCATTTCTCAAGGAATGTGGCAATATCACACAAAATCCCAATATATTTTCTAGTTTCATTAATTATATAAAACACATGGTTTATACTGTATATCCGTTAACAACCAAATGAGGGTCTACATTAATTTTACATAGAATAGATAGTATAGGAAGCTTGCAAGTACATTGGAGCTCCAAATGTAAGTTGTTGTTTCAACTGTGCTGGCTCCAAATCCTTGGGGAAAAAATAGTTTTAGAGTACAGTAGCACGTAGCTATGTATTAATTGACTAACTTGCCTAACAGCTGCACTGCATTTGAGTTTACAAGACCAAAAGCGGAGTTTGCTATTTCCCCATCTTTTATTTTCTCCCTTTCTGTCATCCTCTCCCAGCAGAGGGCAAAAGCTCATATCACAACCAGTAATGATTTAGGAAGGGAATAACAGTTCTGTCAGCAGGCAGGGGAGGAAAAAAGAACCTGTAAGTCGCTCTCTATTTCTCTAGCATGAATGCTGCCAAGGCCTCGCTGCATTGAGGAGTGTGCACTTGCTCTCAAGAAACGTTGGGTCTGGCCTGACTGTGGATGTACAGCAGCAGCTTGCACTACAATGTTACACAATATATAACTCCGTTACATATTTACCTGGCAGGCACCCTTCATTTTAAAACATTGCTGAGCACATCCCTGAAGGCTTCTGCAAATTATTCCATCAATTAAATGCAATTAATAAATGCAAGGAATTAATAAGGGCAAACAATGAATTGATGGAATAATAAAGCTGCCATCAGTTAAAAAGATAAAGGCCTGGATAAAATGGATTAGGTTACACTTAAAAATATTTAACAAAGTCACATTTTCCAGATATTACTATCCACACTGCAATAAATTTAGATCTTTGTTTTAAGTATAATCACTTGACCAATTTGTGCAATTTTCTTTAATTGCCAATTATATGACTGAGGCAGATCAACATTCAGAGGCGTAGTGTGAAAGATTGGATGATGTTACTTTTAAAAGTAAACCTACCACATAATCTGGAAGTCGAGCTCCTTTTAGATTCAAAATAGTCATTGAACAAGACCTCTTAAAATTTAATAGGTTTAAGCTTTGAATATCCATTCAGATCATATACATACATGCAGCTAAACAAGTGTTACCAGTCAGAGAAATTGCTCCTGGAAAATGGCATGTAAAGTGAAATTGCGACCATTACTATTGAATTTTTGTGAGATTTTTAAGCACTTCGCACACAGCAGGGATTTTGTAAACTGTGAATTATAATTTGCTTTCAGAAGTTTTGGAAGTATTGCTTTGCAAACTGATCTGAATGAATACTGACACAAGGAATTGATCAGCAGCTTATTTAGAAGAAATAGAAAATGTTACAACGGTTACATATAATGTTCAGCTGAGTGGTTAACAGCACAGAATGCGAGAGCTGAGTGTAGTAATTGGCAGCAACAAACATACATTTTCTTCAGTCATCTTTCAAAGTGGAATTTAAAGTAGGCACTTCAACATGGAAAAACAGAGTCATACAAATTAATCAGTCTACTGAACTGCATTTATCAGTAGTGTGGTTATAAGTGTCATGAATTCTGCATATATCTCCACTCCAGAGATGCTAATCAGACATTTCATAGATTACTTAAAAGCAGAAGCATTGAAGAGCCAGGCATGATCCAGTTAAAAGTTTCAGATTCCACTTTAGAAAGGTGCATTTCTGTTGTTGCTGAAGGATGTCCACACTGCTCCAATTAAATGTACACAATCCAGTCTTTACTGGAAATCCAAGTTAGTTAAGGTAGAAAGTAAAGTATTTACATATAAACAGAGAGACTTCTTTCTCCTCTTGCCCACAGCCCCCAATAATGCATTGTTTAATCCACTCCTAAAGCTTTCAACTGGCGTTCGATTTCCTCATCTGAAATTCCAGCTTTTGATGTGGTTGCTGCAGGAAGACCTTTGGCAGCTGATGGAGCATTAGCCATCTGTGAAGAAAAATAAGTTTCACTCAAGGCCCTTTTAAACTGCATAATATCAGGACCGAAAAGTGTTGAGGTTGTATTCTGTTTTGGCATGGGTTGGTTACAATGATGGTCATCTCCCCCAGCACCATATTTAAATACGATAAATAAATAACCCCTTGCCTCCTTCTTTTAATTTAACGGGGAGCGGGGAAATTCTTACAGATCAGAATAACAATACAAATTTAAATGTATATCGCCTTTCACCTCAGGACTTCTCTAAGTGGTTTACACAGCTGGTGGGAGGAAAGAAAGATGGTCAAGGAGGTGAAAGTGGGGATGGAGGGGTGAGTCGGTGGAATGCAGTATGGAGTTATGTGTTCAGTTGATGCATGATAACATGCAAATGTATCAAAGATCTTGCTCCAAACATTTGAAAACCAGAAATACCTTTCCAGAAATCTCAATTCCAATTTCATCCAACACCTGATTTACAATGCCTTCGGTTTCACCTTCCTCATCAGAGTCATCAAAAATATCATCCAACGTATCGTTCACTGCAAGGAACCAAAATGCATCCCCATTAGATCTCAGACATTATTATTAATCATTGGTTGTAGCACCTCATCATGTCAGTGAGATGCCTCAAAATACCTCACAGGGTATGCTATTAAGTGGTGCTACTGTGTACATTTTGTGGTCGAGTGCGGCAGCCAGCTTGCGCACAGCAACATCCCGCAAACAGCCATGGATCAATTTTATTTGGGGGATTATTGGCCAGGTCACCGGGGAAAACTCTCTTCCTTTTCAAATAGTGCCACGGGATCTTTAACATCCACCTGGTTAGGCAGACGGGACCTTGGTTTTCTGTCTTATCTGAATGACGGGACCTCTGACAATGAGGCACACCCTTCGCAACTGCACTAGAATGTCAGCATAGACGAAATGGGTTCAAGTCCCCATGTGGGACTTGAACCCACAATATTCTGTGAAATTATTCCTCTAGATAAGAAGGCATGAGGGAAAGATGATAGATGGTGTCCAGCAAGAAATGGTTGCTTTTCTACTCCACCTAGGATCCCCAACTTCCATTGCTTGGCAGCCACAACACCGCTTCTTTATAGCCTGAATTTGATTATAATGCAGTTGCACTGTAGACCCGATTCACTGCACACTTGTAGCCAGACCGCGCACTTCCAGGGCTGGCAGGCTTCAGGGTGACAAGGTCGCTGGTAAGAAAAGCAGGAAGTGATGATGCTAGCGACCGCATTACCAAGAAGTCAGCCATTTTAGCTTCCCAAGCTAAAAAGCAACTGCATAAATATTTGGGTGGTGGAACCATATAAAAGGGCCCAGGAAACAGGCAGAGAATCAGGATCAATGTGGATAGCTCCAATGGGGCACTAGCCCATCATGGGCTCTATCTATGCTGAAAGTTATTTTTATCTTACTAACTCCAGAAGAGTTTTTGTTTACTGGTGAACTTACTCATTTCTTCGGTCATTTCCATTTTCGCGTTTTCCCTTTCGAAATTCTGCATAGTTTGTAAGGTCTTCTGTGGGTCCATTTTCTTGTTCATGGTCTGCATTGTCTGAAACATAAAGCAAGTTTTTTTTCCCCCCAAAAAAACACACAATGCATTTCAATTAAACGTCACAAAACTACCATTTGGACTGCAATTTTGGTTATCAGTTTTGATAAACTAGATTGGGGTGGTTTGTAAAGGGAGTGGCAAGAGAGGAAGGAGTAAAGCTGGGAAGCAACAACTCTTTCAAGGACCTTGGAAAGGAAAGTTGGAGCGGTAGTTTGTGAAAAGAGATGGGACCAGGGAAGGTTTTTGTTTAGGATAGGGATGATGACAGCTGTTTTTAGGGAGTTGACAGGGAGAGGTTGACAACATCTGAGTGTAAAAGGGCGAGGAGGTGGAGCTGGAAGGTAAGGAAAGGGGTAGGGATCGAAGGGTGGTGGACTTCATGCAGGTTATAGTGGTGGTGAGAGAGGAGGGGGAGACAGGTTCAAAGGTGTGGAGGGAGGGATGGGTAGGGGCTGGAGTGTGAGAGAGAGATGGGGAGGTGTTGGCGGTTGGGGGTGGCGGAGGTGGCTGAACTGATCCCCTTGAGGAAATCCAGCATCTCCTTGCAGTTGGAGGAGCGGATGGGCGAGGCGTGAAAGGGTGGACGGAGCAGCCGATTAGTAGTGGAGAAGAGCAGCCTGGGGTCGTCCTTGGCCTCCAAGATTATCTTGGAATATCTTGGGGGAGATTTGCATTCATTCCCCAGATGTTGTCCTTTAATCCCCACTGTAAAGTGTGAGAAGAAGATTGGGCTCTACTCTAATACTCAATTAGAATAACCAACTGTCCCACGTTGAACAATGGCCTCTTGGGTGAGCTGTGGAACTACACCCCCAGGATGAGTCAACACCTTCAAGAGTGAAGGAGGGGAAAATTGCAGTATTTCTTGTTCTCACGAGTACTAACATCACTAATTCAATGAATGAATAGTTCTTATATGTGTCATTATTCGCTAAGCTGCAGGGATAACAACAAAAGAGGCACAATCCTGGCTGATATCCAAACTCCTTACCTTTGTTGTGGTAGCCATGGCACCGGCCATCTTCATTTGAGAGTTCAATACTTTGGTCTGAGTGGACATGGAGGTAACCTTTGAACTCACAGCATATGTGCGGGTCTTCTGTTTCCGCAGCTGCACCAGCTGCTTGGCTAAAATCTTACAGGCTTCCTTGTTCCCCGCTTTGGCCATTTTTTTAATTTCCATTTCCTATTGGATCAAGTTATTTATTAATAGCTGTACCCGTTGGTACAATATGGAGTGTAGATTGACACACTGACAGACACAAAGACAGACATTTTGTCTTTATCTATATTCAGCTGGGAGGACTGGTTGGGAGGACTCCTGGTTGGGAGGACTCCTTGGAATGCATACATGTGTGATGAACTTGTTTAGATCATATCTTTTCTCTGCGCTACTTTGTTGTAGAATATATTTTTACAGATGCATCTCTCTAGAAGGGTGTGTGATTTCCTCCGTCGCTACTTTGTTGCAGAATACCATGCATACCTCATATTTTGGGGCTAATTAAAACTTTTTAAAAATAAATGTAGCTCATCAATGATAGGATTTCCCCAAAAATAAATATGCCCATGACACTCCCCCATGCAAGACCTTTCCGATGGATGTATAATCCATGTCTCTACATCAATCGGTTATTGCGTTCTTAGCGGACACAGATATTTTGTCTTTATTAGTATAGATTTTTCATGCAACAGTGTCAATGGATTGTTGCGCTCTTCACTGGCTGACAGCAGTTGATAAAATATTTCAGGGTACTAATCATTGATAAGTAGGAATCCCAAAGACATGATAAGGCGTTATATAAAATGCAAGGATTATTATTGTTATTATTCACATTATTCCGGCTTTTCCTCTGTGACATGACAGACACGTGTGATACCATTACATTTTCAGCTTGCAGGGTCTGTGTAGGAATATGATCCAAAGACCTGCTTCTTAACAGTATATTTGTTCTTTAAAATAACCGATGCCTTTGGGCTTAAATATGGTAAGAATGTTTGGTATTTCCATTGTTTTTAGATGTATCTTTAGCACTATTTACAATGTTGCCACTCTACTGCAGTGTTGCCAATATTTTCAAATATGTTCCTAGTTTCAAAGTTATTTTAGCTACCCTGCAGATTATCCTCAAAGTATGCTACTAAAACATACCAGTAAGTTTGCTATTACAGGCTCGAAAACAAATAGACAAACAGCGCTTTAATTGCTTGCTTGTTGCAATAGTGATCACGATAAATAAACAAGTCTACGTTGAGCTCAAAACACCCAGAGGTGAAACCATTACCAACTGAGCCAAGCCAACACCTTGTATATATGCTAGGGAAAGTAGGAAATACCAGCACAGCAAATCTTACCGATATGAAAGCTTTCTAATGCAACGCTAAAGTTCTGTACAAAGTAGTTCCACTATTCCTCCATTTGTTGTAAGAGAGCCCCTTTACTTGGAGAGCAAAAAGAAGGGATTTTGGAAACTTAAGCAAATGCCGGTAAACCATGTGCATTATCAAAACATGAATCATTCCAAGGATATTTACTGAGTTTTTTCTAATCTACAGCACTATACGCACACCAGACTCCTGGGTGGCATTAGAAATTCAGGGTGCCGAGTCCGAACTAAAGCGAATCTACCACCAAAGTGATGATGTGACCTACTTACCAGCTGTTTCTCTTGTTTCTCTAAGGCTGCTCGATCTCTTGCTATATTTCGTTGAGTCCCTCTCAACTCTCGATTCTGTTCTTTCATCAGCTCTGGAAAGAAATAAAGATCCATTTAAAACAAACAGTATGATAATAATATAGTAATAGTAATCCGTGTTTCGACTGACTGAAAAACTATTGCTAGCATTTACCGTCGAAACACGATACGAATCTCCTCAATCAATCATGTGAACCATATTCCTACCCTAACAGAGCATAGTATTTACAGCTGAGCAAAATATACATCCAAGGACACAGAATGACTTGGATGTATATTTTGCTCAGTTGTGAATACTCTGCTATGCTAGAATGTTTACAAATCTTACTCATCTTTTCACTAAAAGTGAGCAATCTAAACAGGCCACCTTTAGTAGTGCAATGGATTTTTATAGATAATCCCATAGAATATGAATATACTTAATCACTCTACACCATCACATAACTCTGTGCCTTTCCTCCCGTAGTCATTTTCTTTAACAAAAAGAAACACTTCTTTAAAGTTTGCTCATTGCTTTTGTACACAATGTATTTTATTCTGTGTTAAACGGAAAATTGAAAAAGGTCTCTTCGTTTGTTTATAGAAGATCAAAGGTGGGTGGCCATTGGGAACAGGCATTTTGTTCAGTTACAGACATGACATTCGCCACACAACTAGAATTTTGCATTGCAAATTACTGGATAAGTCCAGTCATTCCCATAACAGTAACCATTATTATTCTCTGTGCACTGAGGATCCCTTATCATTGCTCGGGATCCATCAAAGTGGAGATGTAAGTTTGATAAAATTCAGCAACGGTGACGTAAAAAGGCCGCTTCCCAACCGTCTGCGTTACTCCACACTGTATAGTGTTGGGTTTCGTCAGAGGTCGATATCTGTGAAGCAAAGGCCAACTGCAATCTGACAATCTAGTTCGCGTCACAGGCTGAGTGCGTTGAGGGTGCTGGTGACTAATCCGACAGTGAGTCACCTCTTGCCAATCATACACACTGTGCCGGGAGTCGAACCTTCAGGAAATGGCTCTTTGGAATTAAAATCAAAATCCAACTGCTGCGAAGAAAAACTATTGCAATCTGGTTTAACACGATAAGTAAGGGGGAGTACTTTCTACGGTTCTACTTTGGAACTGTAAACTAAGCTGTTATAATCTACAAACGTCACCATCAAACTTCTTTTTTTTTAAAAAAAAAATTCACGAAACCCACATGTCCGACCTGTCAAACCAGTGTTACGAACCCGTCACTCCTAGTCTCTGAGTCTCAATCAAAGTCACCGATGCTGTAACATTTTGTTTGCCCCTTCAAAAACACGTACAGTAAAATGTGGGGGGGGTCAGTGTATGTGTGTGGTGGGGTCAGTGTGGTGTGTGGGGGGTCATGTGTGTGTGTGGGGGTGGGGGGGGGTCAGTGTGTGTGTGGGGGGGGTCAGTGTGTGTGTGGGGGTGTGTGTGGTGGTGTGTGTGTGTGTGGGGGGGGGGGTCAGTTGGGTGTGGGGAGTGTGTGTGGTGGTGTGTGTGTGGGGGGTCAGTGTGTGTGTGGGGGTGTGTGTGGTGGTGTGTGTGTGGGGGGGGTCAGTGTGTGTGTGGGGGTGTGTGTGGTGGTGTGTGTGTGTGGGGGGGGTCAGTGTGTGTGGGGGTCAGTGTGGGGGGGGGGTCAGTGTGTGTGTGTGGGGGTCAGTGTGTGTGTGGGGGTCAGTGTGTGTGGGGGTCAGTGTGTGTGTGTGTGTGTGGGGGGGGGTCAGTGTGTGTGTGGGGGGGGGGGTCAGTGTGTGTGTGTGGGGGGGGGTCAGTGTGTGTGTGGGGGGTGTCAGTGTGTGTGTGTGGGGGGGTCAGTGTGTGTGGTGTGTGTGTGTGTGTGTGGGGGTCAGTGTGTGTGTGTGGGGGGGGGTCAGTGTGTGTGGTGTGGTGCATGTGTGTGGGGGGGGTCAGTGTTGTGTGGGGGGTCAGTGGGGTCAGTGTGTGTGTGGGGGGGTCAGTGGTGTGGGGGGGTCAGTGTATGGTGGTGTGTGTGTGGGGGTGTCAGTGTGTGTGTGGGGGGGGTCAGTGTGTGTGTTGTGTGGGGGTTCAGTGTGTGTGGGGGGGTCAGTGTGTGTGTGGGGGGTCAGTGTGTGGTGGTGTGTGTGTGTGTGGGGGGGGTCAGTGTGTGTGTGTGGGGGTCAGTGTGTGTGGGGGTCAGTGTGTGTGTGTGGGGGGTTCAGTGTGTGTGTGGGGGGGTCAGTGTGTTGGGGGTCAGTGTGTGTGTGGGGGGGTCAGTGTGTGGTTGGTGTGTGTGGTGGGGGGGTCAGTGTGTGTGTGGGGGGTCAGTGTGTGGTGGTGTGTGTGTGTGTGGGGGGGGGTCAGTGTGTGTGTGGGGGGTGTGTGTGGTGGTGTGTGTTGGGGGGGGGTCAGTGTGTGTGGGGGGGGTCAGTGTGTGTGTGGGGGTGTGTGTGGTGTGTGTGTGTGGGGGGGGGGTCAGTGTGTGTGTGGGGGGGTCAGTGTGTGTGTGTGGGTCAGTGTGTGTGTGGGGTCAGTGTGTGTGTGTGTGTGTGGGGGGAGAGAGGGTGTAGTGACCTCGGCCGCCGGTGGTGGCGCTGTTGTGGCTCTTTGATCACGTGAACAAACAGCGACAGAGAGAGGAGAGGAGAGGAGAGGCCGCGGCCCCGACACTGGTCCCCGGGCCCGAGAGAGACAGAGAGCGGGTCCGGCCCCAACCTCCAGCCCCCAGCCCCGGGAGAGGCTCTCCCCCCCCCCACACACTCCCGAGCGGCCCGGCCCGGCCTGACCCGGCCTGACCCCCGGCCCCGGGCCGCCGGTGGAGCGCCTCTGCTCGGGCCCCGTGTGTCCCGGTCCCGGTCCCGGTCCCCTGTCGACATGTCGTTGTTCCTGAGGAAGAAGACGGCGGAGGGTGAGAGCGCGGGAGCGGAGCGGCCTGGACAGCGCTGGGGGGGGAGAGATGAGTGGGGGGATGGGGGGGGAGAGTGAAGAATGGGGGGATGGGGGATGGGGGGGAATGGGGGAGATGGGGGAGTAGGGGGGATGGAGAGGGGGAGAGTGAGAGAGAGTGGGGGGGATGGGAGAGAGGGGGGGAATGGGGGGAGAGTGAGAGAGAGTGGGGGGATGGGGAGAGAGGGGGATGGGAGAGAGGGGGGGTGGGGACAGAGTGGGGGGAGAGAGGGGGGGATGGGGGGAGAGAGTGAGAGAGTGGGGGGATGGGGGGAGAGAAAGAATGGGGGGGAGGGAGAGAGTGGGGGGAATGGGGGGAGAGAAAGAGAGAATGGGGGAGAGTGAGAGAGAGTGGGGGGGGATGGGGAGAGGAGAAGAATGGGGGGAGAGAGAGAGTGGGGGGGAATGGGGGAGAGAAAGAGAGAATGGGGGGAGAGTGGAGAGAGTGGGGTGGGGGGAGGAGTGGAAGAGGGGAGAGAGGGGTGGGAGGGGAATGGGGGGGAGAGAAGAATGAGAGAGAGTGGGGGGGAATGGGGGAGGAGAGAAGAGAGAATGGGAGAGGAGAGAGAGGGGGATGGGGGAGATGGGGAAGGGGAGGAGAGTGGAGAGAGTGGGAGGATGGAGAGAGAGGTGGGTGGGAGAGAGAGATGGGGGGAATGGGAGGAGAGAGAGGTGGGAGTGGAGTGGGGGATGGGAGAGAGTGGGGGAATGGGGGGTGGAGAGTGAAGAGAGTGGGGGGATGGGGAGAGGGGGGGTGGGGAGAGAGTGGGGAGAGAGGGGGGAGAGAGGGGATGGATGAGAGAGAGGGGGGAATGGGGGGGAGAGAGAAAGGATGGGGGGAAAGAATGGGAGAGAGAGAGGGGGGGAATGGGGGGGAGAGAAAGAGAAAATGGGGGGAGAGAGTGGGGGAATGGGGGGGGGAGAGAGAGAGAGTGGGGGCGAATGGGGGGAGAGAGAGAATGGGGGGTAATGGGGGAGAGAGAGAGTGGGGTGTAATGGGGGGAGAGAGAGAGAGTGGGGGGAAGGGGGGGGGAGAGAAAGAGGATAGATGGAGAGTGGGGATGAGGGGGAAGGGAAGAGAGGGGGCGAGAGAGAGTGGGGGGTGGAGGGAATAGGGAGGGGTAGAGAGAGGGGGGTGGAGGGGTTAGAGAGAGAGAGAGAGAGAGAGGGGGAGGGGTGTGGAGGGGAGAAAGAGGGGAGGGGGAGAGAAGAGTTGGTGAGGGAGAGAGGGTGGGGAGGCGGTGTTTGGTGAGGGGTGGAGGGGCTCCCCACTGGGCCTGGTCCAATCCAACCAAACGCTGCCAGAGCGACAACAAAATTACGGTTGTTTAGCGCCTTTCACGTCGGACGGACGTCCCACGGCTCTGGGCAAAAAGGCGGAACACGTTTGCCTACAAAGTACAGCGTCACTGCACTTTTTACAGTAATATTCCCTTGAAGCTCTTCGAAACGTACCCTCACATGAAAGGCACTAAAATTAAATGCGAGCGTTATAATAATAATAATAATGCCGACATTATTATTATTCTTCTCTGCGCTGAGGATCGATGATCCTAACAAACAGTATGATAAAATAGTAAATAGTAATCCGTGTTTCGACTGACTGAAAAACTATTGCTAGCATTTACCGTCGAAACACGATACGAATCTCCTCAATCAATCATGTGAACCATATTCCTACCCTAACAGAGCATAGTATTTACAGCTGAGCAAAATATACATCCAAGGACACAGAATGACTTGGATGTATATTTTGCTCAGTTGTGAATACTCTGCTATGCTAGAATGTTTACAAATCTTACTCATCTTTTCACTAAAAGTGAGCAATCTAAACAGGCCACCTTTAGTAGTGCAATGGATTTTATAGATAATCCCATAGAATATGAATATACTTAATCACTCTACATCACATAACTCTGTGCCTTTCCTCCCGTAGTCATTTTCTTTAACAAAAAGAAACACTTCTTTAAAGTTTGCTCATTGCTTTTGTACACAATGTATTTTATTCTGTGTTAAACGGAAAATTGAAAAAGGTCTCTTCGTTTGTTTATAGAAGATCAAAGGTGGGTGGCCATTGGGAACAGGCATTTTGTTCAGTTACAGACATGACATTCGCCACACAACTAGAATTTT